AAAGACCCAATCAGAATGAATTAAATGGAGGAAAGGTTTATTTAGGGGCTCATGGTTTAGAAGTCTCAGTGGATAGCTCCATTCCTTGGGGCTCAAGGTGAGGTAGGACATCATGGTGGAACAGTATGGCAGAGGGAACCAGCTCACATGGTGATCAGAAAGCAGAGAGAGAGAGAGAGAGAGACTCCACTCTCCAGATACAGAATATATACCCATGGCCACGCTCCCATGAACTACTTCCTCAAGCCACACCTGCCTCCAGTTACTACTTAGTTAATCCCACCAGGGATTAATTCACTGATTAGATTAATGCTATAACCCCATCATTTCTCCTCCAAATCTTCTTGCATTGTCTCACACGTGAGCTTTTGGGGAACAACACATCTAAACCATAACAATGAGGGTCTTGCAATGTTGCCCAGGCTGGCCTTTAACTTGTGATCCTTCAGTCTTGCTACCTGAGTGGTTGGGATTACTGGTGTGTGATGCTGTGCCCAGCTTTACTTTATTTTTAATCAACATATGATTATACACTTTATAGGTACAATGTGATGTTTCCATATGTGCGTGTATCGTATAATGATCAAATCAGGATAGCATATCCTTCAACTCAAATACTTATTGTTTACTTGAAGATTCAAAATTCTCTTTTCTAGCTATCTTGAAATATACATTATTATTGACTATTTAGTCACCCCACTGTGTAATGGAACACTGGAACTTACTCTTGGTCTAACTGCAACTATGTGAGGGCCACTCTTCTCCCTCAGTCCTACTAATTTGGCTATGGCCCAGACCATGACGTAATACCTAAAGTACCTGTCATCTTAGGGTGACAGATCAGTGACTATTTACATACCCAACACTGATTTACTGAAAAACCTGTACACTTAGGGACCAAGAATCTTTCACAAATGTGAAGTTTGTTAATTTTCAGAATTTTTTTTTATTGTTTTCATGTTTAAGACCCTAAATTTATGATTATTGCTAAGGAGCCTTGGGGCTGAAAAGACAGGCATTTTGGCATTTCCTTAAAATTTAGAGCAGCTCACCATCTGCTTTCCCTCAGAATGACTCCCCTGGGATGCCTTCAACAAATCCAGACCAGCCCCTGGGTCCGGCTGTGCGCACCGCTCTACACAGAGAGGGGCGGCTTGGGAAAGTTAGGGGGCTTTGGTTATCCAGTCTGGATTTTTATTCCAAACAATTTTATGAGGATGATAAATAAAAAAGTTAAGCGTGCACAGGCAAGAAATGAACTAATTAAGGAGGCACCAGTTGCACACAAAGGTATACATTAGGCCTGAGCTTGCTGTGTCTCCCCATTCCCCATCCTTGGTGCTATTATGATTTTTCTTTTTAACATCCTAAAAATATTGGTCAGGGCTGGGGATATAGCTCAGTTGGTAGAGTGCTTGCCTTGCATGCACAGGCCCTGGGTTCAATCCTCAGCACACACACAAAAAATAAATAAATAAAAAAAGACTCTAAAAATATTGGTCAAAGAGAATGAAATAGAATTTGACAAATATCTTTTTTTTTTTTTTAGGTTGCCAAACTTTTTCTGCTATTCTCAAGCATCCTCATTTCTTAGTATGATAGTTAATAATTTAAGAAGGAATTTACCCTTTGCTTTTCTACCCAAGTTATAACCTAATAGAAAAAACCTGTCCCTAAATGTTGTGATCTACATGTTGCAGCACGAGAGGACAGCACCAGATTCTCCATTCAAGGGCATGTGAGATGTGAAAAGAAAGGATAACAGAACAAATGAGCATCACAGACAGAAAACTTCAAATAGGCAAGTTGTAGGGTTTAAGCAAAATGTAGGAAAAGACACAAACACTCAGATGTCTTCAGAATTCACCCCAAACACTCTCAAAAATCCCTGGAATACTATATCAGGAACACTGTGTTTGATGAACTTTTAAGCTTGGAAATGCTCAAAATCATCATTCTTAAAATCATCCAGGAAATATGAAACCCAATTTGAGAAATTGTATAGTTTTTCAAATTATGCTTATGATATCACTAATGTTTTCCCCAATCTCCATAAAAAATGTTTCTTTCTTTCTTCTTGGTACTGGGGATTAAACCCAGGGGTGCTGAGCTATATCCCCAGACCTTTTTATTTTGAGACAGAGTCTAATTTGCTGAGGCTGGCCTTGAATTTGTGATCCTCAGCCTCCTGAGTTGCAGAATAAAGAATCGAAACAAAATCTATCATAAGACAAACACTCCAAAGAATACGTTAAGGAAGATAACAAAGGCTGGAAATGCAGCTCAGTGGTGGAGTGCTTGCCTAGCCTATGCAAGGTCCTGGACTCCATTCTTAGTGCATACACACACACACATACACACAAACCACATTCAGCAATTAGAATATGAATTCACTTCAGATAGTATTAATTTAATCGAAAAGTCTATCAAAGGCTTCAAAATTAATATTTAAGACACTAAAAAATAAATGACCTAACATCCACACATATATTAAATTATGAAACAAATAGGAAAATATAAAATTAAAATAGGCATAAAAAGAAATAATATCTTAAAAATAAAATAATCACCTAAATTAAAGATAATAAATGGTGTGGAATTTAGACTGAACACAGTCAGAAACAAATAGAAATAGAAGAGAGGGGAAATAGAACAGAGGGGAAATAGAACAGAGGCTGAAGAATTATTCTAGTAGAAGTCATAAGCAGTCAAAGAAATAAACTATAAAGAAGGAGACATAGAAGATAGAATAAGAAACTCTAGATTATGTTTAGTAGGAGTTCTAGAAAAGGAGGTTGGAAGGAAGGATGGAGAAGCAATATCTGAAGATCTAATAGCTGAACATTTTCCAATTTACAAAAAGACATTAGGATGAATTTGCTTCCTACATGTGTATTGGTTTATTCAATGCTTTATGAGCACTTACTATGTGTTGCACTCTGAACTAATCAGGGGACACAAAATGAATGTTGTATAATCCTTGCTCACACTAGAGGAACTATTAGTAGGAGAGAAGGATGTGTTTAATTAAAATCTAAAAAAAAATTGCTGCAATAAATTGTTCAACTCCAGAATTAGGAAGAAGGAGGAAGATGACTTTTGGGAGGGCTAAAAGAAGCTCCACAGAGCAGCTGTTGTCCAAGCTGAGTTTCTGAGAATTCCCTAGAGTGCTGTTCCTCAGGAAGAGGAACGAGGAGGCATGAAAGAGCATGGCATATCTGGTGGCTCTTGAGTGGCTCTGTGTAGTCCTAGGTGGGTCTAGAATACACAGAAGAAGAGTTAAAACGAAAGTTTATTGTTTTTGTTGTTGTTTTGGTACTGGGGATTGAACCCAGGGGTACTTACACACTAAGCCACATTCCCAGCCCTTTTTATTTTTTATTTTGAGTCAGGGTCTTGATAAGCAAGTCTGGCCTTGAACTTGCAATCTTGCTGGGATTATAGGCATGTGCCACCATGTCTGGTGAAGACTGAAATTTAAGAGACTGAACGGAGAAAGATTTTAAAGCACTTTTAAAAATAAAGAACATTTACTCTTTCTGCCATCTTTCCATGTCTCCATAATGGTGTGCATGAATGTCCTGGCTGATGCTCTCAAGAGCATCAACAATGCCCAAAAGAGAGGTAAGTGCTAGATCCTTATTAGGCTGTACTTCAAAGTCATCATCCATTTTCTAACCATAATGATGAAGTCTGGTTACATGGGTGAATCTGAAATCATCAATGACCACAGAGCTAGGAAAGTTGTTGTGAACCTTACAGGCAGGTTAAACAAGTGTGGAGGGGTCAGTTATAGATTTGATGTGCAGTCCAAAGTCCTAGAAAAATGGCAGAATGATCTGCTCCCATCCTGCCAGTTTGGTTTCACTGTATTGACAGCCTCAATTGGCATCATGGACCACGAAGAAGCAAGGCGAAAACACATAGGAGGGAAAATCCTGGGATTCTTTTTCTAGGAAAGTAAAACATACATACAAATAAGATGCTTCAATGGGAAAAACGGGGACAACATTGATTGCATGCTCATTGAAGGGTTATATATAAATGCATGTTCACAAACAGGATGACTTAGGGACACAAAAAGGGTCTCCTCCAGAGAAAATTCAGTGCAATACCCACCAATATTGAAAGAATTTTTTAAAAATGAAGCAACTGATTATAGAATTTTTTTATAGTAGCTGGATGCAGTGGCATATGCCTTGTAATCTCAGTGACTTGGGAAGATGAGGCAGGAGCATTACAAGTTTGACGTCAGCCTTGACAACTTCATGAAGCCTTGTTTTAAAATAAATACCAAAAATAGTTGGGGTTAAGCTGGGCACGGTAACACACGCCTGTAACCCAGAGACTCAGGAGGCTCAGGCAGGAGGATCCCAAGTTTGAGGCCAGCTGTGTAACTCATTGAGACTTTATCTCAAAAGAACTAGGGATGTAGCTCAGTGTTTATTTAATCCCTACTACTGAAGAAATAAACAAACAAACCAAAACCAAACCAAAAACTAAAAAGGGCTGGGATATAGCTCAGAGGTAGAGCATGTGCCTAGCATGTTGAGACCCTGGGTTCCATCCCCACTGCTGGAAAGAAAAAAAAAAAGATCTATCTATCTATCTATCTATCTATCTATCTATCTATCTATCTGAGATAATTTTAAAGCAGAACAGTTATGTACCTTACCAGTCATTAATAGTTACCTAGAAAGTTTTATCAATTAAAACATTACAGAAGCATTTATTTCTTACATATTAAGAATAATTAATTCACTGTGGGCTGGGGCTGTAGCTTCGTGGTAGAGCACCTGCCTTGCACATGTGAGACACTGGGTTCTATCCTCAGCACAACATAAAAATAAATAAATAAAGATATTGTATCCATCTACAATTAAAAATATATATATTTAAATAAAAAGAGAATAATTCACCGTGATCATCTTGTTATGGCAGGATATGGAGTAAATGAGCAAATGTGAATTTCAGAATGAGCACCCAGGCACTAATGTTCAGGATGACTTGGGAGCAGGGAAAGGTCAGCGTGACTTGTTGGCTACTTCAAAGGTCTGATAACAAATGTTAAAAATGGAAAATGAGGATAATGAGCATGGAGAAGGAGAATAATGTTAAGAGGAATATTTGGAGATGGGACCAATAGCTCTTGGGGTGGAACTATTAAAGGTAGGCAGGAAGCAAGGGAAAAAGAAGAGTCAAGGATAAGTTCAAGGTGTTACCCTGGGCAATGGGAGAACTGGCATCGATTTTAAGAATCTGTGCAACAAACAAGTTGGTATCTGGAAAATAGGAATGGGAGAGTTTGAGGCAGATGTCTTAGGGAGTTCTGGGAGTGAAGAAAATAATGAACTTCCCTAGGCAAATGCAACAGGTGGAGAAGGAAGATGGACGAGGTGAACAACACTCCTAGAGGAGACCATGCCTGTATCTGGGCCTTAAAGAATGAGGAATCTGAAGGGGCAGCAAGACGTCACCGGGAGATGCAGAGGCTGACTGAACAGAGAGGGCTGATGCCTGGGCACCAGGCTGGGAAACAGAGGAACTGCCAAAGGTGGGGAGGAGGGAGACAGGGACAAATCAGAAAGGGAACCTTTCCACTTTCCCTCTTGCATGTGCAAAAACACAGATCCACTCTCACCTTTGCATTTTTTGCAAGTCGGATGACATCTCTCACAGGTCCAGGTGTTTTCTTCTGCATAGTAATGCTCTGGGCAGGTTCGATAACACTCTCCCTTGGAGGCGAGCAGAAAAAAGTAGGTATCGCAAGACAGGCAGTCTGTGGGCTGTGGACCCCGGCATGCCTTGCAGCTCTTGTGGCACCTCTTACACTGGCCAGTGGAGATTTCTGCATAATATCTGAAAGCAAAGGGAGCGAAGATGGAATACAGCAGTCCCTGGGTATCTGCAGGGGGTTAGTTCCAGGACCCACTACAGAGATACTAAAACCCATTGAAGGCTCAAGTCCTTTCTATAAAACAGGGAAGCATTTGGATATAACCTACAAATATCCTCCTTTATACTCTAAATCATCTCTAAATTACTTACAGTACCTAATGCAGTGTGAATGTTAAATAAATAGTTGTCATGCTACATAGTTTGGGGAATAATGACAAGAAAAAAGGTCTGTACACTATTGATACAGATGCAATTCTTTTAACAAGTATTTTCCATCTTTGATCCCATGTGGAACCTGCAGATGTGAAGGGCTGATTGTACTAATCTTTGCTCCTAAATTGGGTGTGGTGAAAAAACACAATGAGTCATACAGAATTCATTTACAAGCTGAGTGACTTTAGCCTCTTTACTCACTTTACTCATTAAACTCATTTCTATGATACTAGCAAATTTAATGATTCTCAGTTTTCTTATCTGTAAAGTGGACATTACAATCCGTCCCTTGCTAGCTGTGAAGATTATACTGGATAACACCTAGGGAAAGATGCAGCAGTCACCGGTAATTGTTAGCTACCTCTGTCTTTTTCTTCTATTCAGTGCTCCAGATTCAAGCTTTAAGCTGTGTTGAATAGGATTGGGGAATTGGAGACATTTTTAGATGGACCTCTGAGTGGTTTTTCTTAACTTAAAAAGCATCTTGAAATAGAAAGTGACATGTAGTGAAATTAACCTTTACCAAATAGATGTAACCTCCTTTGAAAAGATTTTTGGAGACTAAATTTTTCCTATATTTTTATTGGTGCATTAAATTGCACATAATGGTGAGATTTGTTGTTATATATTTGTACCACTGCACACAGTATAACAATATAATTTGGATAATTTCATTTATTCCCCATTATTTCCCCTTTTCCTCTCCCTAGTCCCTTTCTTCTACTCTACTTATCTCTCTTTGATTTTCATGAGATCCCTGCCCCTCCTTTTTTTTTCTTTTTTCCTCTCTAGATTCCAAATGAGATGATGGTGATGATGATGATGATGATGATGATGATGATGATGATTTGGTACTGGGGATTGAATCCAGGGGCCCTTAACCTCTGAGCTACATCCCCAGTCTTTTTATTTTTTAGTTTCATTAAACTGCTTAGGGCTTTGCTGAGTTGCTGAGGCTGGCCTCAAATCCTTGGTCCTCCTGCCTCAGCCTTTTGAGTCACTGGGATTACAGGTATGTGCCACCTTTCCAGGCTGAAGATTAAAATTTTAAACTTATTTTTATTGGTACATTATAATGATATAATGGGATCCATTGTGATATATTCTTACATGAACATGGTATAGTTTATTTTGCTTCATTCTCTGTTATCTGCATCTCCTCTTTTCCTCCCTTCCTCTTGCCTCAACCCCCTTTCCACTAGGGGTCTCTCTTCTATTTTCACAAGGTTTCTCTTCTTTCCTTTTTTCTCTCTAGCTTCCACATATGAGAGAATGCATGTGATCCTTGAGTTTTAGAGTCTGGCTTTTTATTCTTAGCCTGATTTTCTCCAGTTTCATCCATTTTCCTGCAAATGATAATATTTTGTTTTTCTTTATGGTAATAAAATACAATTGTGTATATTTAGCATATTTTCTTTTTCCATTCACCCACTGATGGACATCTAGGCTGGTTCCATAATTTGGCTATTGTGAATTGCACTGCTACTAACATTGCTATGCATGTATCACTGTAGTATGGGCAAGTCATTGAACTTCTTGAGCCTTGGTTTCCTAATCTGTAAAATGGAGAAATTAAGGAAAGGCTAGGGATGTAGTTCATTGGTAGTACATTTGCCTAGCATGCATGATGCCCTAGGTTTGATCCCCAACTCTGCAAAAATAAAACAAAACAACAACAAAAACAAAACTGAATAGACTAATACCAACCTCATGAGACCATTGTAAAATAAAATCATAATATAAAGATACATTGTGAGTGGAAATGCTTAGTAAACTCTCTTCTCATCTATTATAGAGATGAGAAGCATCAAGAGGAACCATAGTGAGGGAAGACTGATCAATTCTAAATAGGTTTTAAAATTTATCAAAGAGTTATGCTGAAAAGAAAGGCAGTGGGGAGTTTGCTGGCTCATATTGAAAGAAGACTCCAACATCACTGCTTAAGATGAAGACTTATCTTAAATACTCATCTTAACAGTGGTTTAAGATGAGGGGATTGTGAAATCTCTTGATCTTCAGAGCCTTGAGGACGATCTTATGCATAAACACAGACAGAAACATGAAACTTAGAGAACCCTCTGTGAGGCTAAACATCAGAATCATTATTGTATTGAGACTCAGAGAATCATATACCTGCCTTTCCAAGACAAAGAGATTTAACACACAAGGCTCATATCATGATGCAGAAAACTGATTTTACAAAAGGAATCCTACTTCATCAATATTCCAGTTTTTTCTTTGCTTCCTGGCTACCATGAACTAAGGAACTTTCTATCCTATGCCCTTCCACCTTAATGTTCTGCCTCATTGCAGGTCCAGAGAAACAGAGTCCATAGACCATAGACTGAATCACTTGAAACCCTGTCAATACCAGCAGACATGCAGAAAGCTCTCAGATCCAGACCTATGCTGAATATGTGGGTGGAAAACAGGAAGAGAAGCATATCAAGAGAAAGTGGACAGAAGATAGTTGGCAGGAGGTAGAGAGAAAGTGGCTAAATCTAAGAGCCTGTCCTGCTGACTGCAGAACCACTATTCCTGCACCAATAGCTGTGCAACTACCAGCAGTCAGAAAGAGAAATTTGAGCCCTAATCTAGGAGAAATAAAGATAAGAGCATTTGGGGAAATTTCCTACTCTGAGCTTGCACATATAAGTTCCTGGGCAGAATCTCTCTCATAGGAAAAGGAACAGGTCAAAAAATTAAAAGACCAAAGAAAGACTTTCTCCAATAGGAAACATTAAGGACAATCCTGCCAAGCTCTTTGAAGTTCCTGAAATGCGGTAGCTAAGACCTGAGTGAAATAAACTACTGGTTCTGTCACTGATGTAGGGCCAGGGGGCTCATGTAGAAGCCTTACTGTATTTAATTTGATAAAATGTGGTGTGGAAAGGGTTTGAAATCAAGCATGTCTCCTGAAAAGATCAGTTTTTATTTTTGTGGCCGTGTTTCTCTTTTTTCCTTTTCAATCTAAACTACCAGTTAACACTCATCATGGTTGTAGGCTGTGCTGAATGTGCACATCCAGGGAAACCTTTCCTGTCACCAATTAGTGTTTGAAGCTTCTCCTGCTGGGGAAGTCGGCTGTGAGATGCATTCTGGTTCTCCTGATCATGGATTTAGGGTTGAACTCTTTCCTGCTTGGAGACATGCTCATTGCTCAGACTGTGGGGCAGTGGCTGCAGGTCACAGTGAAAGTCTCCCAACGAAGGAATTGTTGTGTTTCCCTAATTCCCACCATAGTTGCCCCCAAACAGTAAGCACTCAGGCTTGTCTTTCTGGTAGGAAGTTAGTCTACCAATGTTGATTCATGAAGGAACCTAATGCTCCTTCACATAACTTTGCCTTTGGAGTATATTTATTGCAAGTTATGTTTCCTAAGATATGAGCTTATCATGGGGGTGGTGCCTGAGTAAAAAATAATTTTTGTTCTTAAAAATTTTTTCTCCAATTCTTCCACATTAAAGAGGTCCACAGAAACCCACGCTTCTCCTCCTCTCCCTTGGGTAACTTCACACATGGTGGAACCATTTTCTTAATTCCATGGTCTGCATTCTCTTTAGACCACAGGATCACACCCCTCTTTTAGTGTGTATGTACTTAAGAGTAATGAAAAACTGCATGTGAGAAAGATGGAGGTTCTTGACATGGGATCCAGATCTTTATACATCCTTCTTACGGTAAAGTGGAAGGGCGAAGCAGGTAGGCTCACCCCCCACTCTTGTCTGGTAAGTTCCTTTCTTCACTGACCCACACAGCTGGTGTTTTTCAAGAGCTTCTAATGTTTATAATTCTGCATGGAATGTTGTAGTAGTATAACAGTAGGAGTTCCCCCAGACCCCTCAGGAGCTTATAATTTTCTTGGAAAGACATACAGGTATAAGAATAAGGTCTTAAAGAACAAAATTTGTCTTAACTCACATTATTCAAACAAATAATGTTTGTGCTCTAATTGAATATGTATTTAATAAATGAGTGAGTGAAGGAAGAAGATACATAGAAATGTAAGGTGGTATATAGCACTATAACAGATGAAGTAAGCAGAGGTTGCTATGACTGAAAGGAACAGATGTGCCAATTTGGCTGAAAGACTTTAGGGAAGGCCCAAGGATAGAGCCCTTTGATTGGGGTCCGGAAATTCTCAATGTCCTAGGTTCTTGATTGGGAAGCAGTGAGCAACATGTCTATAATCAATCTTTCTCTTTACTGGGATGCCCGTGTGTGTGTGTGTGTGTGTGTGTGTGTGTGTGTGTGTGTGTGTGTGTGTGTGTGTGT